TCATAAGAAAAAAATCTGGGAAATTCTGCAGTTAATTGCTTGATGAACAAAAATACAGCCTGTCAAAAAGGAAGTCTTTAGCACTCGTCCTCAGTAAGTCCTGTGACAGTGAGTTTTCTCCACCAGCAGACTCAGGCCTGCCCAGTTTCTGAGCCAACATCTATGAGTGTAGGAGTACATCAGTCTATCTTTCCTCACTTCCAACACCATCACTACCAGGCCAGGTCAAGACTCTGGTACACTGTTAAAGGCCTGGTATTTCCCGTATGGAGTAGAGGCCCTGTTATAGGCTAAGTTGTGTCCCCTTCAAAATTCATGTGTTGAAGGTCTAAACTCCAGTAGCTCAGAATATGACTGGGTTTAGAGATAGGGCTTTTAAAAAGGTAATTAAGATTAAACAAGGTCGGGGAAGGCAGGGAGGGACAAATTAGGAGTTTGGGATTAACATATACACACTACTATATGTAAAATAGATAACAAGGACCTACTGTACAGCACAGGGAACTATACTCAATATTTTGTGATAACCTATAAAGGAAAAGGAAAAGAATCTGAAAAAGAATATATATATATACACACACATATATATATCTCTGAATCACTTTGCTGTATACCTGAAACTAACACAACATTGTAAATCAACTATACTTCAATTCAAAATTAAGATTAGGATTTCCCTGGTGGCGCAGTGGTTAAGAATCCGCCTGCCAGTGCAGGGGACATGGGTTTGATCCCCAGTCCGGGAAGATCCCACATGCCACGGGGCAACTAAGCCAGTCAGCCACAACTACTGAAGCCCACGCACCGCAACAAGAGAAGCCACTGCAATGAGAAGCCTGCGCACTGCAACGAAGAGTAGCCCCCGCTTGCCACAACTAGAGAAAGCTTACACGCAGCAAAGAAGACCCAATGCAGCAATAAATAAATAAATAAATAAAGATTAAACAAGGTCATTAAGGTGGGCCCTGATCCTAACAAGATTAGTGTCCTTATAAGAAGAGGAGGTTAGGACACAGACATACACAGGAAAAAGACCACGTGAAGACACAGGGAGAAGGCAATCTTTACAAGCCAGGAGAGAGGTCAGAAGGAACCAACCCTGCTGACACCTTGACCTTAGATTTCCAGTCTCCAGAACTGTGAGGACACAAGTTTCTGTTGTGTTATGCCACCCAGTCTGTGGCGCTTTGTTATAGCAGTCCTAACAAAGTAATACAAGCCCCAAACGTTCGTTTCCACCAAGTAATATCTGTTTTCTTGTCCTCATTCAACAAGCCAACATCGGTGGCCTTCTGCGAGGATCATGCTGTCCTGAACCCACCACTTAAACTAGGGGTTGGCAAACATTTTCTGTAGAGGGTCAGATAATAAAAAGTTTAGGCTTTGAATGTGAAGAAGCAAAAGAGAGAATATTATGTAGCTGCTTATATAACCATTTAAAATGTAACCACTTATACCTGTACACCTACGTTCATAGCAGCGTTATTCGCGAAAAGGTGAAAACAACCCAAGTGGCCATGGGTGGATGAACAGATAAGCAAAATGTGGTCTATACACACAATGGAATAGCCTTCAGCTTTAAAAAGGAAGGAAATTCTGACACACGCTACGATATGCATGAACCTGGAGGACTTTACGCTGAGTGAAATAAGCCAGACACAAAGGGATGAATATTGTGTGATTCCACTTATATGAGGTACTTAGATTAGGCAAATTCGTAGAGACAGAAAGTAGAATAGTGGTTGCCGGGGGCTGGAGCGGGAAGGGGGGATGGGGAGTGATTGTTTAATGGGTACAAAGTTTCTACTGGGGATGATGAAAAAGTTCTAGAAATGCTTAGTGGTGATTGTTGCCCAACATTGAGAATGTACTTAATGCCACTGAATTGTACACTTAAAATAGTTAAAATGGCAAATTTTATGCTATGTATAGTTTATCACCAAAACAAAACGGCTATCCCACCCCTCAAAATGCAACCATGGGGAAGTGGGAGTGGGGGCAGGTGGGTAGGAGGAGAAGCAGATTGGCCCATAGGCTGTAATGCGCCTACTCCTACCCTACACTGTTTGGTTAGGGCTCTGCCTCTATCTCTGTTCCCTGAGCAACAAGCATGAGACCTGCTCTAAAGAGACAGATCACCTGGAACCATCAACATCTGTCATTAAGTATTATGACCACTGTCTGGAATGACCTCTTACTTTGCCCCTTCTAGATTGTGCCCTTTGGATAAGAAATCAAGCCCAAATTTATCATGTTCCTTCAGACATTCCTGGCTACTCACTTCTGGGGGTAACCCTGCACCTGGAAGGCCCCCCGATACCAGGAGCTCGGGGTCCTCTTTCTCCATCAGCCTGTGCTGCTGACATCTCTGCATGCCTTGGCGCCTAATCCACCGAGGCTATGGATGGAGGTGGTTGAAGGATACAAACAAGTTAAAGAACACGATTCTGCTTAATCGTAACAGGACCTGAAATAAGAAATAGCTGAGTTTGCTGCCTACTATAGTAGAGCTATGCTGGTTAGGCTCGGTATCTCTGAGCAGAGTACAGGGTTGGCTTATGTAGGGTTTGGGGAGCATGGAGCTCGGGGATTGGGAGACTTTCAGAGGCATAAGCGGGTTGACATCATCTGTAGGAGCGTGATTGCTCGCTGAGCTATTGTTGATTGGTTGGCACTGGTGTATTTATTAAAGTGAGTTGATCTCTGATTGGCTGATTTTCATAAGCTAGGGGTTGAACTGATTGATTAGCTTGTACAAGTGTGTCACTGAGGCAAGTTGTCATTAATCGATTAAAAGGATGTAAAACTAGTTCGTTGGCTACTTGTTACCATGGTTGCAATCATTTTTTTCCTAGGTTGGTGGGAAATTTTTAATTTTCATGTATTATCTGTGTAGCTGTCTCTCCAGCCATTAAAAATTTGCCTTATAGGGCTTTCCTGGTGGCGCAGTGGTTGAGAGTCCACCTGCCGATGCAGGGGACACGGGTTCGTGCCGTGGTCCGGGAAGATCCCACATGCCGCGGAGCGACTGGGCCCGTGAGCCATGGCCACTGAGCCTGCGCTCTGCAATGGGAGAGGCCACAACAGTGAGAGGCCCGCATAAAGCAAAAAAAAAAAAAAAAAAAATTGCCTTATCTTCCATGGCAAAGAATGTTAATTGCCAGAATTCCCTGGTGGTCCAATGGTTAGGACTCAGCACTTTGCCGCGGCCTGGGTTCAATCCCTGGTTGGGGAACTAAGATCTCGCAAGCCGCGTGGTGCAGCTGAAATAAAAAAGAATGCTAATTGCCTAGGTAATATCCATTCTCCCCTTCTTCCTTACTAACAGAACCCTGTTTTTGTCAAGTGTAACAATGTTCCCAACAAGTACCTTCCCCAGACAACCGTGCCGATTGGGTTGAGCACGTGACACAATCCTAACCAATGAGCTATGAGCAGAAGCGCTGGGTGCCCTTTGGGAAAAGCTCCTTCAAAGCCAAGCAGAGTCGGTGGGCATGCCCCGTCTCTCCTTCCTGACTGAAAGGGGGTCATGCTGGCCTGGGGGGCAGGTGCCATCTTGGATCCATGGAACTACAGCCATAATGATGGCAGATAGGAAGAGAGACGGAAAGAGACCCTGAATATGGTGGAGCTATCATATCAGCTCTGGACCACCTGCCTCCCGTCTTGCAGGTGTGTGAGAAAAATCAAACCTCTATTTGGTTCAGCTACTGTGAGTTTTCTATTAAGTGTAGCTAAACCTATTCTTATTTGATAAACCTGTCCTTCTGCTTTCCTTATCGCTTCCCCTCACAATCATTATCAATGGCTCCCATGTGTCTTCACTGGATAGCAGAGTGCTCAGCACATCACACGATACACTCTCAGTATATATTTGTCGAGTGTGCAATTCCCAGATGAGGTTTTTGTGCCTCCAGATACGAGGCAAAAAGAAGTACAAAACATCATCTACAAAGCAATCTTGCCAAAAATATTTAACGTGAATCCAATCATGAAGAAACTATTAGACAAACTGCATGGGAGACGATCTAAAACAACTCACCTGGACCTTCCGAAACGTTCCACGTGATAAAAACAATAACCAAGAAGGCGGGAGGGAGGATTATTCTAGATTAAAAGAGACTAAACAAACATAACAACCCAGCGCAATGCATGAACATCATTAAATCCTGGATCAAACAACAAAAGATATCTGCATCACCCAGTATACCTGGACTTACCTGCCAGAAATCCCGGAGGCAGCCACAGTGGCCTATGTGGTATGGAAAGGGCACTTTTCAAGGGATAGATTCCCCACTCAGAACCCCAAGCAGATGACTCAGATCAAGAGAGAAATTTGGAGAGTTATTTAGTCCAAAAACCACTCATGTAGTTGAGATAGAAATCCAGGAGTTTCTTTACCATTCTAAGCATCAATACAGCCAGAGAGGCTGAGGAAAACTCTGAAATCTATCAGGGATGCTCCTGCAGGGATTGAAAGGCCATTGTAACCAACATATGATAATCTTGCCACAAGCCTTGGAAGCCACCAGGGCTGCTCTGGGGATGCTCATTAGGGGTGTAGCAAAACTCAGCCACTTGCAGTGGTTAAGAATCTGCCTGCCAATCCAAGGGACACAGGTTCAAGCCCTGGTCCAGGAAGATCCCACATGCCACGGAGCAACTAAGCCCGTGCACCACAACTACTGACGCCCGTGCGCCTAGAGCCCGTGCTCCGCAACAAGACACTGCAATGAGAAGCCCGCGCACTGCAACTAGAGAAAGCCTGCACTCAGAAATGAAGACCCAACGCAGCCAAAAATAAATAAAATTTTTTCAAAAAAGAAAATGTTTAAAAAAACAAACCTCAGCCACTGCTGCCACTCGCTGTAGCAAACCTGGTGTGGTGCCAGGGCTGAAAGAGGGGTGTGCTACATAAAACAATAGAAGCATTATTAATACATAAAGTAACGACTGTGAAATGCCTTCTTACCGAGAGGGAGAAAAGCTGCGTCTCCTACCTGAGGACCAGGTTATCAGTGAGACAACGCAAGACCAGGGGATCCACTAGGGGGCGGTAGAGTCCACTGGTTAAAGGCACAGTCTGGAATCAGAGAACCCCAACGGTCCTGGCTTCTCCACTTCGCAGGTAGGTGACCTAAGGCTGGTCACAAGCCCTCTGAGCTTTAGTTTCCTCATCTGTGAAATGGAGATGAGAACAGTGTCTACAACAGAGGTTTGCTGTTGATAATAAATGTGCCTGGCATACTGTAAATACCCAATTCATATTAGTTATTATTCATTATTTACAATAGCCAAGATATGGAAGCAACCTAAGTATCCATCAATCCATCAACAGATGAATGGATGAAGAAGACAGGAGATACACACACACAAAGTGGAATACTAGTTAGCCATAAAAAAGAATGAAATTAGGTATAAAATAAGCTACAAGGATATATTGTACAACATGCGGAATAAGCCAATATTTTATAACTATAAATGGAGTTTAACCTTTAAAAATTGTGACTTGCTATATAGTACACTTATAGCTTATATAATATTGTACAGCAACTATATTATACTTCCATAAAAATAATAAATAAAAATAGCCAGTGGTTTAAAATAAATAAAATTTAAGTGTTGTAAAAATAAAGTATTAATCCAAACTTTAACTGCAAAAAATGTATATATTAGCCATTATTTTCGTTCACTGAAATAACACATCGTTCACAGGAAAACTAGAAGGGAAGGCTGCACCTGCACATATGCATCTGGGTAGGAGGTGGGTGTGCAGCAGAGCAAACGAGGACAAAACCCGTTGGAACTTACGACGTAAAGTCTGGAAAATGCTGCTCATGAAGGTGAGTTGAGGAATGAATCACTGTGGGGAGATGCAGACCTGTGACACATCAGGTGAGGGGTGCCCACCCAGAGCCCCCAGCTGGAACCTTTTAGTTCCTTTTTAAAAATATATAATTGTGGTAAAATACACATAACAAAATTCACCATCTTAACCATTTTTAAGTTGCATTTAGTGCATTCACATTGTTGTACAACCATCACCACCATCCACCTCCGCAATACTTTTCATCTTGTAAAACTGAAACTCTGCACCCATTAAACAACAACTCCCCATTCCTCCTGCCCCTGGCAACCACTGTTCTACTTTCTGTCTCTATGAATTTGACTACTCTATACTCTAGGTGCCTCATATAAGTGGAATCACAATATTTGTTAACTGGCTTATATAATGGCCTCAGGGTTTGTCAGTGTTGTGGTATGTCAGAATATTTTTCCCTTTTGAGGCTGAATTCCATTGTATGTATATATGACATCTGGTGTCTCCATTCATCTGTCGATGGATACTTGTAACCCTTTTTTAGTTCTTTTTGAACTAGATAGTCCATCAGGAATTTTCTGGGAGGGGACAAACAACCAAGGGAACCAGCGGCTGAGCCCTGGGATGAGAAGAAAGCTCCAATTCAGCAAGCGCCATAGAAGTGATTCTCAGACAAGGGAGGAAAGAAATTCAGCCAGTATACTTGTGTGTATGCTGTATAGTTTCTAAATGTCACCATATAGTTGAGGAGTGGCTTCCCCATGATGGTCATTGCCTCTCAGCTCCAAACTCATGCTTCTCTACTTGGCTTCATGATGCTGGGCTGAGATTCTGCAAACCACACTTGCAACGTCCTTTCTGCTTGTGGTTCTTCAGAGCAACACCCCGGCAGTGCCTCTTCACCCGTCAGGGGCTGTGCTTTCTTGTAGCAACAAGTGAATCCAGTTTCCATTTGTTCCAACACCTGCAGGGACAGTGTCATTGCTCCCCGACCATCACCTGCCAGCCAGCACCCATTTCTCAGAGGACTGGGTCCCGGTCCCGTGGGACCACTCCTGCACGGTTTAAGGTTTTAGTAATTCCACCCACCTGCCTTGGTTTGCCCAGCCCGAAAGGTGGTAGCCGCCTCCACTGTGATATCTTGGCATAAAGTTATAAAAGTTCTCTTTTAACTTTAATGTAGTTAACAGTTCTTCACATTTAGTTCTCTCTTTTCACATTGCTGTGGGTTTTGTCTCTCGACTAGATTAAAATTGATGCACCCCCAACCACTATCTCAAATCTTTAATGGCCTCCCAGGCCCCGTGTTTAAGCCTAAACCCTTCACTCTAAGTAAGAATGACCCGGCCTCCCTTTTCATCCAGAAAATTAAAGCCATTATAAGTGACCTCAAACATGCCCCCCCCCCACGATCTATAAAAATGTCTATGGCCAATTTTCTCTTCTTCAGTCTCAAAAGATAAAGCATTTTCTTCCTATTTAATCCCAAATCTTCCAAGGGTGCTTTTGAGCCCAACTCCATCCCACATTCTCGGGGCTCCTACTCTGTCCCTATATCCTCTCTCCAATTCTTAGCAGGCTCTTTTCTGTAGCCTCCAGGGAGCTGAGTAAGGACAGGTCAAAGGACTGGTAGGTACTTCTCTTCCTCTCTCCTGTTAACCACATCCATGTTTTCCTCCATTGCATGTCCACCCCCCAAGCCTGAATTTCTGGACAAGTTCTGCATGCCCAGCACCCAGCACAGCGTCTGGAAAGGAGTAAAACCCTGGGTTATGAGTCAAATCCATCTCACCTGCCTTCGCTAATCAAGGCCGTTTTAAGACTTGCATGGCCTCCAAGCTGTGTGTAGTCTAAACAATAAGATGTTTGCCAGAGCTCTGTTCCAGAAACTTGGAGTCAGCTGTGTCTACTTCGAGCTGAGCTGGTTAAGACCGGATAGGACCATGGACCCCTCCAACTGGGCATGCGTGAGTGTCCTCGGGGTGACCTTTTGAACACGCGGAGGCCTGCAGGCTAGTTACGCCTGCGCAGAAGGATGGTTACCGCACCTTTTCCCAATCACCTTTCCCCAGGCTTCCCACGCCTCAGCCCGCCCTGCTTCTTTATTCGTTATCCCATGCATACCCTGAGCCTCCCTTTAGGGAGGCAGATTTGAGATTTGTTTCCTAGCTTGGCTGCCTTGCGACTAAACCCTCTCTTTGCTGCAGACCTTGGCGCCTCAGCATTTTAGCTTGCTGTGAGTTGGGCAAACCAGCTTGGTTCGGTAACAGGAGGAGGCTGCAGGATGACACTCAGTGTTTGCTGAATGGGTAAGATCAACAGAGGAGTCACCCCTTACCTGCTTGCTGAAGGGATCACTGAATAGTTGGGATTCTGTAGCTAGAGCTCATGGCACACCTTAGGGCCATGTTTCTCCCAGGGTGGCCCTTGGACCACCTGCACCAGAATCACTTGGGGATTTTGCTAAAAATACTGATTCAAAAGTCACGTGGCAGGGGGAGGGGTCAAAGTGACAGGAGCCAAAACAAAGCAGTATTGGGTTATAACCCAAAGTATAAAATAAATATCCGTGAGTCCATACTGATGTAAATAAATGGTTGAGTAAATAAACAGGGAGAAGAGACAAATCTCTTGTACAGAAGAATTCCAAATAATTTCTGTGGATCCTCTGTCCCCAACAAGATGGAGCTTAACTCCCGCCTCAAGTGTGGGCTGCACATAGCGGCTTCCTTTCAAAGAGGACAGTATGAAAAGGCGTGTGTGTGTGTGTGTGTGTGTGTGTGTGTGTGTGAGAGAGAGAGAGAGAGAGAGAGAGAGAGAGAGATTAATTTGACAGTAGAGAAACCAGACTAACACAACCTCACCCAGGTGATCAAGGTCAACACAAACAGTGAGGAGTCAGATTGACAGTATGTATACTTGGTATGAAGTGATGAAAATGGCATTTTACCCCTGGGTCTTCCAACAATCAATCCATAACCTCAATCTTAACATGAGAAAAGTATCAGGCAAGTTCCAATAAAGGAACTTGACCCTACTCCTGACCCCTACCTGACCCTACTCCTCAAAATTTTCATGGTCATCAATACAAGGAAAATCTGAAAAACTGTCACAGCCAAGAAGAACCTGAAGAAATGAGACAACTAAATATGATGTGCTATCCTGGATGGGATCCTGGACAGAAGAGGACAATAGGTAAAAAGGAATATTATGAACTAAAGTATGGACTTTAGTTCATAATAATGTATCAATATTGGTTTGCTAACTGGGACAAATACACCACAGTAATGTAAGATGTTAATAACAGAAGAAACTGGGGGGTGTAGGGCTTATGGGAATTCTTTGTACTATCTTCTCAATTTTTCTGTAAATCTAAAGCCTTTCTAAAAAATAAGGTCTATTGAAAAATGTTTAACAAATGCAAATTCCTGGGCCTCCCTTCAGAATCTCAGGTAATGAGCCTCAGGACCCTGCGCTTTAAACAAGCATCTTGTTGGTTTTGTACACACAAGTCTGAAAACCAGTGTCTTAGAGACTCTCTGCTCAGAGGTATCGAGGCTCCTTGCTTGTTGTGGTTTGGACCCATGCCACTGTGTTGCACAACCCCCAGGTCATCATTGGTACTGTGACCAAACTTACAATGTTAATGGCAGCTGTGGAGTAGACACCATGCATTTTCGTCTGCTGCAGGCCTTCCTTTGGCCCACAGATATCAATATGAGCCAACAGTTAACAGCTGGGAAATTCTTCATCAAAGCCCAAAGCCCTGGGCTGCATTTCTGAATCCCCCAAGTCCCTTCTGGCATTTTCTCATAGGGCTCAGAGTGGCTCAGCTCTTCAGATGGGATGTGTGATCAGTTCCACACATTCTCTACCACACCCTATTGTTCCTCACACTTTAAGAGCTGTTATTATCATGACTGTGTTGTTGACTTTTTTTTTTAATTTTTATTTATTTATTTATTTTTGGCTATGTTGGGTCTTCGTTTCTGTGTGAGGGCTTTCTCTAGTTGCGGCAAGCGGGGGCCACTCTTCATCACGGTGCGCGGGCCTTTCACTGTCGTGGCCTCTCGTTGCAGGGCACAGGCTCCAGACGCGCAGGCTCAGTATTTGTGGCTCACGGGCCTAGTTGCTCCACGGTATGTGGGATCTTCCCAGACCAGGGCTCGAACCCGTGTCCCCTGCATTGGCAGGCAGATTCTCAACCATTGCGCCACCAGGGAAGCCCCTGTATTGTTGACTTTTTACAGAAAAAAAAGTTCTCTGTATCTGGGTCATGCTCAAAAGTGGGAAAATGAAAGATAAATGAAGTGAGCCTGTGTCCTTAAAAACTGGAAGAGAGCATCTTTATCTGTGT